ATTGGCAGGAGCAGCGGGTCAGCGCGGCGGCGAGGATTACCGCGGCCGGGATTTCCGCCGGGCGCGGATTAGGAGCCAGCGGAGCCTCTCCTGAGTGGATCTGAGGGGATTGCTGCTCCTAATCAATGTAAATGAGGCTCCCCCAGGGCCACCCTTTACGGCATTAACGAACTAACGGGATTAGCCGGAGCGGGGTGAGAAATCCTGGCTCCGAGCTGCGGCGCGTGCCAGGGCCCTGGTGGGCGGCAGCGGTGGGTCGGCTCCAGGCTGCTGGAAATGGGGAATGCCGGGGAATTCCGAGGAATTCCGGGGTCTTCCGCACGCCCACGGGCTGTCCCGTGGAGAACGTGATGCCTGAGGGGACCCTGATGCCCTTCTGGGTGTGTCTGTGCGTTGTCTCCTCTTTGAGGCTGTTCTTGTATGCCCATCCCACCTGTACGTGTGGCTTGACACCTGCCCCCAGCAGTGCCTCTCCCGTGCCCTCCAGAACGGGGATTCTGCTCCATTGTGAGGCTCGGGCTGTGTCATGGGCTTCACAGAGCTTGAACAAGGGTCACCACTGCTACCAGAGTTCCCTGCAACCTCATCAGAGAGAGAACTCTGCTTGGGGATGTGCAAGGCCTCCCCAACGCTGACCTCCCACCCTTCTCTCCCTTGCAGCCTGCGGCGGGAGGGCTACACGGTGCAGGTGAACGTCAACGACTACCTGGACATCTACTGCCCTCACTACAACGCCTCGGTGCCCGAGCACCGGCTGGAGCAGTACGTGCTCTACATGGTGAACGCGGAGGGCTACCGCACCTGCAACACCAGCCAGGGCTTCAAGCGCTGGGAGTGCAACCGGCCCCACGCGCCGCACAGCCCCATCAAGTTCTCGGAGAAGTTCCAGCGCTACAGCGCCTTCTCGCTGGGCTACGAGTTCCGTGCGGGCCAGGAGTACTACTACATATGTGAGTTACTACAGGTGTGAGTGCTGCTACATGTGTGAGTGCTGCTACGTGTGTGAGTGCTGCTACGTGTGTGAGTGCTACTACATATGTGAGTACTACTACGTGTGTGAGGAGTACTACGTGTGATTTACCATGTGTGAGTGCTGCTACATGTGTGAGTGCTGCTACATGTGTGTGTTACTACACATGTGAGTTACTACATGTGTGAGTGTTACTATGTGTGTGTACTGCTACATGTGTGAGGAGTACTACATATATGACTTCTGCTACATGTGTGAGTATTACTACATATGTGAATGCTACTACATATGTGAGTTACTACCTGTGTGAGTGCTGCTACGTGAGTTACTACATGTGTGAGTGCTACTACGTGTGTGAGTTACTACAGGTGTGACTGCTACTACGTGTGTGAGTTACTACAGATGTGAGTGCTGCTACATGAGTTACTACGTGTGTGAGTGCTGCTACATGTGTGAGTTACTACTACATATGTGAGTACTACTACATGTGTGAGGAGTACTACGTGTTATTTACCATGTGTGAGTGCTGCTATGTGAGTTACTACATGTGTGAGTACTGCTACATGTGTGTGAGTGCTNGGGCCGGTGCTGCCAGGGGACATCCATCTGCCCAGCATGACAGGCTGCTGGAAGGTACCACCGCCTCGCCAAGCCCTGCTCTACAAACGCAGTCGTGCAGAAGTGATGCTGCCCGTTCTCCTCCCGCACTTAACCCTTCGGGCACTGCCAGAGCCCACCGTCCCCACCGGCCATGCCGTGGCTGCCAGAGTTTGAGATTTGGAGGGTCCATCCCAGCCCAAGGCATGGTGCTTCCCACCATGGAGCTGGCAGGGACCAGGCAGCCTGTGCCTGCTCTGGGATGGGTGCTGGTGAGAAAAGAAGTAGAGTCCCTCTCTCAGAGTGTCTCTTCCTGCCCTTCCACCCCAAACCAGGGCCCACGAGCTCCCTGGATGGTGCTGTCAGCAGATCTTGGAGCACTTGGGCCGTTGCACTGAGGGATTTGGGGGTATCTAGAGTTGCTGCTCTGCAGTGGCTGTGCAGGAGGAGCCAAGCATGGCAGGGACACAGTGTTGTGACCAAAGCTGCTGCTGGGGTCACCTGGATGTGCCTCAGGCTGTGGTGGCCCTGTGGCTCTCCCCATACGGGGCCATTCCCCAGCCCCTCCCAGCTTACGGTGATGCCCGTGGGAGTCACTCCCGTGGGTCTCTTGCCACACCACCTGGGACTCCTGCACCCTGCCACGGGTGCTGGTGTCCCCCAGCCCAGGGGACACTTCGGTGCCTCGTTAGTGAGGCTGTTTATCAGCAGCCACACTTCTTAATGAGCTGTGCCTTAACGAGCCCCATCCTGGGTTCCCAAGGGGCTGTTCCTCAGCACTGGGTGCCCCAGGAGAACGGGGGTTTACCTCTCCCCAGCACCCCGTGACAAAGTGTCAAGAGTGACACTTCTCCTAGTCCCTCCGTCCCATAGCACAGCTGTGGGGAGCCCCAGCTGCGGGTGCTCACCCCGGTGTGGAGCAGCTGCTCTTGGGGTACGCCAGCGTCCCAGCTCTGCGTCCCGCGTGGAGTTAATTGCGATTTTCTCCTTGGGGCCATTTCTTTAATAACAAGCCTTTTTCTCCCCCCC